GATGTTTTGTTTGAAATTAAAAAGAAGAAAAAAAAAGCGAAGGAAAAAAAGTGAAAAAGAAAAACAACAAGAAAAAGAAGAAAATCTTCTAGTGCCATGGTTAAAAACAACAGAAGAGCAAAATAACAAGCAACCTACCAACTAAATAAGAATAATAACAACAACGTACAAGTACTTATTTTGTTGTTTTTTGCAGTATACATAGTATCTTTGAGATGAATTGAAAACTAAAGAAAATTGTTTCTTTTTTTTTTTCTTTTTCTTCTTTTGTATTTGTTGCACGAGTACATAATGTTGTTGGTGAAAAGTTGCAACCACGTAGCTAATATTTTTTCGAACTTGAGATTTAGATGATAGTCTGTTTTTGCCTTATAGAGAGATAAAATAGTGTTATTTTCTCATATTCGGAAAAATATGTTAGTTACGTGTTGCTAACATTTCAACATTGATTTTTAGAAAATAAAGCTAACTACTACATAAATGAAAAAATATTTCAATTATATAAAGTTATGAAACATTTAGGGGTATTTTAACGGTTATGGTGAGAGTTCAACTGAAGTGTTATAGTTCCGTTCTATTTCAGTTCTAGTTTAGTTCTAGTTCAGTTCTAGTTCAGTACTAGTTCAGTTCTAGTTCAGTACTAGTTCAGTTCTAGTTCAGTTCTAGTTCAGTTCTAGTTTAGTTCTAGTTCAGTTCTAGTTCAGTTCTAGTTCAGTTCTAGTTCAGTTCTAGTTCAGTTCTAGTTCAGTTCTAGTTCAGTTCTAGTTCAGTTCTAGTTCAGTACTAGTTCAGTACTAGTTCAGTTCTAGTTCAGTTCTAGTTCAGTTCTAGTTCAGTTCTAGTTAGTTCTAGTTTAGTTCTAGTTTAGTTCTAGTTCAGTTCTAGTTCAGTTCTAGTTCAGTTCTAGTTCAGTTCTAGTTCAGTTCTAGTTCAGTTCTAGTTCAGTTCTAGTTCAATTCTAGTTCAGTTCTAGTTCAGTTCTAGTTCAGTTCTAGTTAGTTCTAGTTCAGTTCTAGTTCAGTTCTAGTTCAGTTCTAGTTCAGTTCTAGTTCAGTTCTAGTTCAGTTCTAGTTCAGTTCTAGTTCAGTTCTAGTTCAGCCACCTTTTCCGTTTTTTTTTTTTTCAAAATGAATTAAAATTTTCTTAATTATAATCCTGTAATGTACATAAATTAAAGAATTGCATTTTTATCCAGCCAACGTATAAAATATAAACAATAAAACAAAAATAAATAAATAAAATAACAAGAAAAAATTTGCAAGAAAAATTAATTATTATGTCTCATCAATCAAATAGAATTATTTTTATTTAAAATATTTATTTATAAAAATAAAAAAACACAAAAAACAATTTACAGGCAAATGACATAAAAAAGAATTCAACAAACAAATGGTCGGAGATGGAACAAAAAAGTGAGACATAAACGTGGTGACAATTAAATGTCATAATTTATTTATGTTTAAAGAGGTGTATTGTTTATTTATTTATGTCTTTATATAAAATATTAAATATTTTTAATGTTATTTCATTAAAAAAATTATTAATAAAGATGAGTTTTTTTTTTTTGTTGAGCAAAAAGGTGCAAAAATGTTGACAGTTATTGTCAAATTTTGTTGTTGTCTGTTTATAGCAATTGTGATTTTGTATATTTTGTTGTAGTAATGAAATGATTATAATAACTCTTCTATGATGGTGTGTGTGTTTTATAATTGTATAAAAAGTAATGCAGGAAGTTAATCAGGAACTTAGAATAATTAAGATTTCCTGCAAAATACAATGACCTATTAAGGCAAGTAACGCACAAAAATCAAACAAAAAATACTTAAATATAGTAAATGAGAATTTGATTTGATGAAAAATCTCTGGAACAAATAAAGCTATAAAAAGAGAGATGGAGAAATTGAGAGAAACCAAAAAAGGAATTTTTGTTTGTAATTTATTAAGTTTTGAAATTTTTTCACAATTCTTAATTTTTTTTCTCACTGATCCTTTGATACATATTTGTAACGGAAGAAAGTTCTAATAAACTGCTTAACTCACATATTTCGTATTAAATCCTTCTGAATTTTAACAATTTTAAAGAATTCAGAAATGTTTTTTGGAAAATAACTATAATTTTTTAAACCTTAATAATGATGTTGTATTATTATCATAATAACTACTACAATTTTTATAATTGAAGGGATTAAGTTAATTTGTTGATAGAAACAAATTCCACACATGATTTTGAAAGTAAAATCGTTACATCCGCCGCGGAAACGCTAATAACAGTGAAACGCAGCATTTTACTTTTCTGCACACAAATTTCAACGTCGGTATTTTAACGTTGTTGGCTTATTGCCATAGACTACAGATTTATGAAGTAACAGTTTTTGTTTAGATATAGGTTCTCTAAACAAATATTTGTTTAGAGAACCTATTAGACTACAGATTTATGAAGTAACAGTTTTGTTTAGATAATAGGTTCTCTAAACAAATATTTGTTTTTTTTACTTTTGTCGCTCACTGTATGTAATTCAAATATTTAGGATTTTATCTCATTTCTTAAATTTAACAAAAGCTTTCTTTATCCCACACATTTTATTAGAATTAGCAATTAAAATTGCAATTAGTCACTACGAATAATTTCACCAGATGGCGTTAGAAAATAGTGCAATTTAGAAGTTTATTGAAATTGAATCATCTTGAATTACTTCATTTAAAAAGCTATTTAGTTTATTTATTTTGTTTAATGTTTTATTAAAAAAAATACATTTTTTTATTTAATTTACTACTAAAGCACATACCAGTAGGAATCCGTTTTTACACGAATGACTCTAAATTGGGGGATAAAGTTGGCCTGGGGTTTTATATATAAGACCCAGAAACAGAAATATTCCACCGTTAACCTAATCATAACACAAGCTTCCAGGCAGAAATCCGAGCATAACGGATCCGGAGCCCACGGTCCTTAATATATTCACCGACAGCCAGAAGGCAATTAGTTCGATATCAGGTGATATAATTAAATCTAAGATCGTATTGGATTGTATGAAAGCTTTAACTGAATACTCTGCCAGAGGTAAGGTTTACATCATATGTGTACCAGGCCACTCGGGAGTAGTCGGCAATGTAAGGCTTTAAAAGGAAGGGAGCTCGATGTAGTTAAACTGACAAACGCAAAACCATTCGATGCAACAAAAGCTAAATTAAAAATATGGGTGAGAGAATACCATAAGGCCTCTTGGAATAATGAAACGGTGGGTAAAACCACAAAGATCCTATGGGGTGACCCTGATGAGAACAAGAAGAGAAATCACCTCAAAATGAGCAAGTCTGAAGTTAGTATGATGGGTGACCCTGATGAGAACAAGACGAGAAATCTCCTCAAAATGAGCAAGTCTGAAGTTAGTATGATGGTACGTATTCTGAGTGGACACATAGGATTACGAGCACATCTATACAAAATTGGCCGTGCAGATTCTGACGAATGTAGAGCATGTTGAGAGGACAGTGAAACTCTGGAGCACTTTCTTTGCCACTGTTCTAAATTCGTCGAAGTTAGATGCAAGTATCTTGGAAGTGATGTTATTCCGTAAATAACATTTCTGTCTAACACTGATTGGAAATTCTTAGGAATTACTTCCAGAAAACTAAATTTCTGAACATTGAAAAATAATACACTCAGTGAAAATTTGTTTCTTTTTTTAATGAAAAGGCCTGATCGTGGCCTAGGTGTATTTCTTTGGATTTGATGTATTATACATCCTCTTATCAACCTAACCCAACTTAATTTAATTTATATTTTAATTTAAATTTTCGTTCTGTTTTACTTTTACAAAATACAAAATTCTGTTCATAATTGAGATATGAATAAAATCCACAAAAAAACTTATTTTTGACAATAGTTTCGGATATATCTCGAAAATATTGGTCATTTACTATAGCAAAACTTACTTTTCAATGACTACCACATATCGTTGGCATTACTTTTAAGTGCTCTCATAATGACTTATTTGTAAGCGAACGTGTGAAAATAATGCGTTAAAATGCTAAAGAAGATGTAGTGAAAAGCGCTTTTTTAAGCTTTTTTACTCATTACTAACCCGAAGAAATCTGGACATTTCAGGAACTTAAATTCAATAAACAACCGGACGGACAGTTTTAAAAGTTTTAGAACTTTAGATTTTAATAATTTTTATATAAAAGCTAATCGATTTTAACGTTGAGGAAGTTATGGAGTGCTTTTTGTCTAGATTTATTAAAGATTTTTTTTGATTTTTTTAATTTATAACATTTGCCTAACTAACACTTATATTTTAAGCCTTTTATTAATAAAAATATTTATAACCGTCCCAGAAATAATTTTATTTATTTTTAATTTTTTTTATTTAAAAAAGGTTATTAACACAATTATCAGTTAAATGCGTTAACATTAAGGCATTAATTGTCAAATCAAATGATTATGAAATATTTATAGCAAAGACAACTAAAGAGGGGGGTCTTTTCAACTTTCGAAAAATTAAAAAAAAATTAAAAAAAACACTGATAAGAAATTAAACAAAATTTAAAAAAATGTAAATATAAATTTTGTTAATTTTTTTTTTTGCTTTTTTTTTTTTTTCTTTAAATCTGAATTTTCAAACTTACCTTATGTTGAAAAAAATATGTTAAAATAATCCAAAAATGTTTTTACAGGAAAAGTTTATAAATTATCCAAAAATTGTAAAGAAATTTTCTTTAACGAATGTATCCAGAGAGTAACAAATTTTAATTAATTAACACTTATTAGTTTTTTTCTAATAAAATATAAAGAAATGCTTTTATCTGTTTTTAATTTTTTTTTTTCTTAAATTTTTTTTTTTTTGTTAATTTTTGGAAGTGGAAAACTTTTTGGCTTTTTCTTTAGAAATTTAAGAAATTTTTTGTTTTTCTTTTCTCAAACATTTATTTAAAAAAAAACACTTTTAGAAACAGTATCATTTAAGTGTGTATATTTTTAGCACTAGGAAGTTTATTTGTTTTTTTATTATTTAGATTTCTTTTCTTTTAGAAATTTTTTTTGTGTCTTTAACAGCAGCGTAATTTGGTTTGTTGGCTCTGGCTGCTGTGGATGATGGCTGTATACCAAATAGTTTTGAATTTTTTGTTATTTTCTTTATTTTTTGCATTTAAATGTTAAACATGTTCAGGAATCTACACAAATGTACATTTTTTATACATAATTGTATGTAGTATGTGAGGTTTATTTAAAGATAACATTTTTTTTCTTTTGGGGAAAAAAACCACTTTAAAAATATTGGGACTGCTTTAGATTTCATTTGTTAATCCTTGCACTTTTTTTTGCAGTTATAATTTTTTTTATATATTTTAAAACTTGTTATAAAAATTTTATTTGTTTTTAAATTTTTATTTAATTTTTTTTGTAAAAAAAATTTTGTTTGTTTTTTTAAGATTTTTTTAAATTTTTTATCATAAACATATTTTGGGGTTTTTTTGTTTTTTAAACTTTATGTGGGCAAAAAATTTTTTGTTCTGTTGTTAATTTATATTTATTTGTTTCTTTAAATTTTATCACTTTCTTGTTTTTTTTTAAAGAAATTTTCACTTTTGTCTAGAATTCTTGTGGTTTAAGAAAAACAGTTGTGGTAAAAGTAAATTCTGTTTTTTTCCATTACTATTGAATTTGTATTGAAATTTTTTGAATATGCCGCGCATTGATACTCTCGGTAGCTCTTACAGATAAATACTCTTTAACTGCTAAAGTTGTTGTTGCTACTTATTCTTTATTTTCACAATTCATTGCAGTTTCAGACAAAAAAAATTGAAAAAAAAAGCACAACAAAGACCCAATGAAATGCTTGAAACGTTAACAATATGAAAAAGAGCTATTTATTTAACACACAGATACACCATGCGACAGACACAACGACACGTTAAACGCACACACACATTCACACGTAAACATACAATATGCATCCATCGAATACACACGAGAGGATGATGTCAATTTACACTTTCGGTAAAGCAAGAGGAGATTCGCTTGTTTTTTTAGTGTGTTTTTCTTTTAGTGAATTTTTATTATTGTTGTTGTTGTTATTTGATGTTCTGTTACTGGAGATGGTCGGTTGGTTGTTTGTTTGCTTGGTGGATGATTACTGTTAAACCGTATTAATGTTCATCATCCGCTTAGATGTTCTATTCACTTCGATGAACATCTTGTAACTATTTTCAAAAAGAGTATACAAGCAACGCCAGACCCATCAAACCAAACAACAAACGAACCAACCAACTAGCCAGCCAGCCAAGCAAGACAAAACAGACATTAGCAGCAAAAGCTATACTATACACTAACAACAACAACAACAGCAATAACAACTACCAGCCAGCAGCAGCAACATTAACATCACCCCAGCACTAAGTATTAACTCGAACCACACAACTAAATCTGCCTGCCTGCCAGCCAGCAAGCAATCCAACAAACACACACTCAGACACTGCTACAATATATGTGACTGACTAACTGACAGTGAGTCCAACTTGTACACGATGAAAATCACAACGAGATCTGATGGCCGGGTATGATGGTCTTACTCATACTTTACTTTAGTTCTGAACACAAAATACACTCACTCTTCTCCACTCTCGTTGTTGTCGTAAACAATAAAAATTATCAAAACTCATACGTGTGAGTCCATTACATGCCCAAGACTAAAGACCACAACAGTAACAACAACGAAATATAACGCGCCTCAAACAACAAGTGATAATGCAAAGAAAGCAAGAGTTACCAAGAGTTATTATTTTACGAGTATAACTCGTAAAACAGGAAAGAGAACAAACATAACAATTAAAAGAGCTAAAGAGATATTTTTACAATTGAACGGCGAAAAATAATCAAAATAATAACAGAAAACACAAAAACTGCTTACTCTGAGTAAATATACAAGACCAACAAGCAAGAGTATCCAACTCAATACAACGGATACAAAGCAAAAAAACAACAAAACACGCACTGTTTATCAACAACAACAACACAACTGCAAAAAATCCCCAACACGAAAATTTGATGCATTTCAAACAAACGAAATACGAAAGAATAATGAAAAAAGAGTACTTTACATTGCACTACTCACACCAGCAACAACAACAACGACAACATTAACAGAAAGACCAACCAACAACCACTATCACAGAACAGAAGACGACGACTGTGACAACACGAACAAACTCTCTTTTTGTACACTACAAGCTTAACCCGTAGTGCTTCGCTACTCGAAATGAAATTACATACAAAAATTTTGAATAGCAAAAGTACTGTTGATTCTCTTAGTGAATTCTTAGTTGTGGTACCAAAACTGCCTTCAAAAAGTACCATTTGTAAATTGAAAAAGTACCAAAAATTCCCATTCGGAAATTTTGCGGTTTCACATTTTCAATTTTATGTTTATTGATTTAATATCATAGAAAACTCAATAAGTACCATTTAAAGAAAAAGTACCTTTTATATATAGGATCAAATGAGGCCCGATCATTATGAAAATCATCAGTATCATTAAGACTTATATAAAACTAAATGTTGCCGATTTTTGATGTGATACAAGAACTTTTAACATATTTATGAGCTCAAAGGCCCTATTCGGGGGTTCTACGAAATAATGGATGAATTTTAACCATTTTCAATAGGCTTTGTCCTTGGGTCAAACGCTATGTACCACATTTCATCAAATTATCTTGAAAATTGCTAACTGTAGAGTGCGCATAAGGTTTACACACAGTCGGACAGATACACATAGCTAAATCGACTCAGAAAGTGGCTTTGAGCCGATTGTCATACTTCTACAATATCTTTGGGTGTTATAAACATCAGCACAAACGCATAATACCCTGATTGATTGATTAAGAGGGCACCAAGCACTACGATCCAAGTTAAGATCTTTTGTGCAGCTCTTTTGGTTCACCATTGGAGATTAAGTTCATGTATAAATCTTAATGTTCTAGACGGTGAGAGATTGAATATTTTATTAGGCGAAAGAAAAGCGCCTCCCAGAATACTCACTCTGTGAGACCATAACGGCTGACAGTCACAAAGTATTTGTTCAGAGGTGTTTCATCATGCATTTCGCAGAATATGCATAGGCTCGTCACATTGTTACCAAGAATGTGCTGGTGGTATCTAAGTCCACAGTGTCCGGTATAAAGTTCCGTTAGTAATCTTAGGTCACTCTTGTTAAGTGACAGTAACTTTTGGGATTTACCTTTCATTAGCATTATGAAGCTTTTTGCCTGTCTGAGTCCTGATATTGACTCCCAGTGGCTGAGAAAATCAGATTTAACATATGAATCACATTTTTCCCTAATGTATCCTTTGGGGATACCAAAGAATGGTTCTGGTCCAATAAATGGGCGCCGTGCGCCAATGTTTGGCAGACAATTTTCTCTTTCATTGCCAGAGTGTCCTTCATGGTCAGGTACCCAACATAATTTGGGTTTATTATGTTTACCCGGTTCATTTAGAGATGTCAAACAGTCAAGTACGACACCCGACCTGATTTCATATGATAGTATAACACCCTCCCCATTATAGTGGTGTAGGGTAAAAAAGTACCAATTGAAAAAGTACTAAAATGTTAAATCTTGTAGCTGCTCAAAAATACCATAAAGATTCCCTTTTATAGATTTCCTTTCATTCCAGATTCCTTTCACTTCAGTATTAAATTCAATAGATATACAACTTATAGACTCTTATTCAATCAGGTCCTCATATGTTCAATTACATATTAACATATTAAAGAAAAATTCAAAAAGTACTATTTGAAGTAAGAAAATAACATGCCCGTTTTTCCCTTTTTTCATAAATATTCGAAATTTCATAAAACCTTTTATTCAAAAAAGAAATGATTCTAGGTCCAACCGTTTGGGTTGAACGACAGAGTCACTCATTAATGTGATACTTTCATATACACACATATAGATTGCTGTTGTTGTTGCTACGAAAGCCAAATAGACGAAGCTCCTCTGATTAAGCAGACACGAAACCAAACGAATAACTAAAGAACAAAAACTATGTATGAAAATAGCAAACTAAAGAACTGTTTGCTGCTAGTGTAGTTGTTGTTGCTGCTGCTGGTGGGGGATATGAAAACAACAGCAAAAAAAAAAAAAAAACACAACTACATAAAACTACTGTTAATGCGAGTGCATGCAGCCATCTCCAAATACACACACAGCACACACTTGTTAAACTAATATGAAATACAACAAGAACAAAATGTATCTATGAGAAGAAAGAAAAATAGCTAAAGAAACACTACAAAAACAAAACAGAGAATCTATTAATAGTGAGAAGACTCTTTATAATTATTTGTTATTTTTTGTTAATTCTTACAAGTGTTTTTCTAATTTCGTTTTTTGCATTGTCCAGTGCTTTATATAAGTTTGTATACATGTACATACATATTACTTATTTACTAAATAGTTGTTGCTATTTTTTTTTTTTTGTCTAATGTTATGAAATATTTTTAAGAGTATTTTTAGAAATTAAAGAGACTTAAGCAAACAAATACATAGTCTCTTAAAATTTGTTTAATTAAACAGAAATATACTAGAAATAGTTGTAGTTCTTTTTTAAGAAAAAAACATCTTATTTTATATGATGCCATGGATTTTAGAAATATTTTATTATTTTTGTTAAGTTTTAGTGATAAGAGATTTGTGTTTTGTTATCAGTATTTAGAAGAACAAAAAAAGAAAAATAGACTCATAGAAAAAAGATCAAGTTTGTAATAAACCAAATAAACAATTATCTGATTAGACAAATGTTTTTAATGTAATTAAGAAAAAAAGAAGAAAAATTGTTTCAAGATAGAGATTAAAGAGGAATATAAAACAAGGAAAATTAAATCATAAAAAAAACTTTAAAAAATACTGAAAATTTTTCTATAAAAAATTCTTAATATTCAAGTTTTTTATATAGAAAATTTTAAATATTCAAATTTTTCTACAGATAGAATATTGTCAATATATTGAATATTTTTCTATAAAAAATTGTTAATATTGAACATTTTTTCAATAAAAAATTTTTTTAAACAAAAAAATGTCAATTTTAAAATTTTTTCTATAAAAAACTGAAAATTTGTCTATAACAAATTGTCAATATTGAACATTTTTCTATCAAAATTTGTCAGTATTAAAAATTTTTCTATAAAAATTGTCAATATTGAACATTTTTTTTTTATAAAAAAAATTAAAATTTTGAAAATTTTTCTATAAAAAATTGATAATATTGAAAAATTTTCTATAAAAAATTATTAATATTGAAAATTTTTCTATAAAAAATTGATAATATTGAAAAGTTTTCTATAAATATTGTCAATATTGGAAAATTATCTACAAAAAAATGTAAATTTTAAAAATTTTTCTATAAAAAATTTACAATTTTGAAAATTTTTCTATGAAAAATTGTAAGTATTGAACATTTTTCTATGAAAAAATGTCAGTATTAAACATTTTTCTATAAAAAATTGTCAGTATTAAAAAAATTGTCAATATTGAAAAATATTGAAAATTTTTCTATAAAAAATTGTCAAAATTGAAAAGTTTTCTATAAAAAATTGTCAATATTGAAAAATTTTCTATAAAAAATTGTCAATATTGAACATTTTTCTATAAAAAATTGTGAATATTAAAAAATTTTCTATAAAAATATATAAAAATTTTTAATTTTGGAAATTGAAATTTTTTATTGAAAATAAAAAAATTCCTATAAATCAAATTGTATACAAATAAATAGTTAGGTTAGGTTGATAGGAGGATGTATAATATTATTTTTCAATGTTTAGAAACTGAGTTTCGTGGACGTAATTTCTAGGAATTTTCCAATTAGTGTTAGTTAGGAATGTTATTTCCGAAATAACATCACTTCCAAGATTAATGGATCTAACGTCGACAAATGCCTGACAGTGGCAAAGAAAGTGCTCCAGAGTTTCACTGTCCTCTCCACATGCTCTACATTCGTCTGAATCCGCACGGCCAATTTTGTATAGATGTGCTCGTAATCCTATGTGTCCACTCAGAATACGTACCATCATACTTACTTCAGACTTGCTCATTTTGAGGAGATTTCTCTTCTTGTTCTCATCAGGGTCACCCCATAGGATCTTTGTGGTTCTACCCACCGTTTTATTATTCTTACCCATAGATTTAATTCTATCATCTGATATCGCCCTAATTGCCTTCTGGCTGTCGGTAAATATATTAAAGGCTGTAGGCGTTATATTTATTCTAATCCAATTTACACATTCCGTTATTGCTCGAACTTCTGCCTGGAAGCTTGTGTTATGATTAGGTAAACGGTGGTATATTTCTGTTTCTGGGTCTCTTTATCGCCCAATTTAAAGCCATCCGTGTAACAACGGATTCCTACTGGTATTTGCTCTAGTTTTCCGCATGATCAAGACATTCTATCTGGGATCAGCGTTTCAAAGTTTCCGACATTTTATGTGTCTGGTATACGACCAGGCACGTCCGAAATAAATAGAAAGTATTAAAAATTTTAATTTCTTCTATAAAAAGTTTTCAAAACTAAATTTTTTAAAAAAAAAATTCTACAAGAAATTTTAATTTCAAGATAAAAATTTACATGTTTATTCCAAGGCTGTTTCCGCAAGTTCTAATATTTTGAATATTAACTTATCTTATGTAAATTTCTTATGATTTTTCTTTAAAAAAATTAAAATTTTCCCAAAAAATAAACTTTCCGAAAAAAACAAACATGAAT